TAGATGCACGGACAAATTTTACAACGTAAGAATCTATATAAATTTAAGATAGTATATCGAAAGATATCATAGAAAAGTCTTGTGGAGAAGATTATCATAGGAAATGAAAGTCAAGCTTCGAAGGCATAAAAAAAAGCAAATGTTGAATTTCATATTCGTGACGATCATTCTGACGAGAAAAGGTCACTAACTTGAAAATCGCTTTTGAGCTGATATTTTGTGCATAAGTAGATACTAGTGCACCTAGTAAAAGTCTAAAAGGATAGCGGCTAATAGCGCTTTCTCTTCGAGTTATAGTTAATTCATTGAAATTTTAGCCTGTATCTTGAATTAAGGATGAAAATCGGGTGATCGGACTTTGGCCTGAGTTCTTGTCCATGGATAGTACCAAATGCAGATAGCATCTCCTGAAAATTTCAATGCAATCGGACACTTCCTTTACAGGATAATATATTTCAAAAAGTACTCATATTTTATCAATGATATAAGAAAAATCTTTATCTCGTAAAGGAAGTGTAAGAATGAACTGAAACTTTCAGGAGATGCTATCTATATTCGGTACTATCCATGAACAAGATCTCAGGTCAAAATTTTAGTAAATTAAGTATCACTCGAAGAAAAAGCGCTATTAACCGCTATCGTTTTGGACTTTTACTAGGTACACTAGTATCTACTTATGCACAAAATATCAGCTCAAAGGCGATTTGCAAGTGAGTTGTAACTAACAATATAATTTTCGTTATGAACACGTAACAATTTTTTTCGATTTACATACAGTTCTTCCTCGGTACTATGTGCGTATATTGATTATATTAATATTCTTGTGATAGACAAAGTAAAATATCAGATATGCACAGGGGAGTTTAGAAAAAGAAATATCCAAGGAATATGAACGTATTAAAATTGTCTAACTATGAAGATATTTTTTAATAGTGTAGATAATTGGTCTTTTGCTCAATCATTCTTCTTTGCCGTTACAGTCGTTACTACAATTGGGTAAATATATCTTTTTTATTTTCATTTAATTTCTATCTTATATACCTTTTTGTATAGATATGGTCATGTGAGTCCTTTGTCAGGTATATATAATTTTTTAAAAATATAAATTTTCTTATTATTTTCATATATAGATACTGGTCGCATAATATGTATAGTATATGCTATTTTTGGTGTTCCAATGACATTATTATTACTCTCAGTAATTGTTCGTAAACTTCTCATACTTCTTAATAATACTTATTTATGGTTTCGTTACAAATTTTCATCTGATCGAAGATCTGAATCAAAAATTCGTTTCATACATTTATCTTTAGTTCTTATATTTTCATTAATTTTCTTATTTATTATTCCATCAATTATATTTACATATCTCGAAGAGAGTTGGTCATTTATTGATGCCTTTTATTTCTGCTTTATTTCATTAACAACAATTGGTCTTGGAGATCTTGTTGCAGGAGATTCACCAACACAACGTAACAGACTTTTTTATAAAGTATGTTTAACAAGTAAGTAATCATATTTTATTAATATATCGCAAATTTTTCTTTGTTTATATAGTTTATCTTTTGGTTGGTGTAACAATTATGATGTTAGTAATTGCAATGGTCTCTCAAATACCTGAGCTTCGATTAATACAATTTTTTCTGAGTGGAAAAGAAGTTGAAGATGAAAATGAACGTGTATCAACTACGGAAACATCTGGCTTATTATGGTTATCACGTTCATCACCTGCTTCTTCATATGGTATTCGAAATTCAACAACAAATCAACCATATCGTCGACAGACAAATGAAAAAACTGATCCAACAGATACTCCTGAGATTATAACAAGTTAATCTTTAAAAAAAAAGAGACATAGAGTTATATTTAGTATTCTAAAAGTAATTTGATTGCATATAATGGTGCTAATGCATATTTTGAATGACAATTTTTTTGTATCATTGACTCAATTTGTTCTTTTTTGCTCACATATTTATTTTAAACTTATTTTTCTCCTTACATTGTGCTTTGCTAGTCTATAAACAGAATGATATTAAAAGTAAAAAAAAAAGGATTTATAAACTTGAATAATTCAATACAACATTTTCTTTCTTTTCTTTTTTGATAATAATATATATATGGCTTTTATTTACATCAAGAACAAAAACTATTACATGAAAATTTAATCAAAGGTTATAACGTTCATAGGTTAGCCAAAAAAAGAACTAGTATTTATTTAGAAATTAAAAAGTACTAAGTTCAGTCAGTTTATTAATCGAGTGAACATCTTTATAAAAAAAAATAAAAGCATAGTTATTCAGATGGTATATTCTTTGGTGAAATTACAATCTGTTGTTATTCTCTCAGATATTAATCTACTGAGATAAGAGTGTGTGAGAAACACAATCGCAGTAGATGTTTTGTAGTTTGAATCAATATAATAAGATATGACATTATTTGCATAAGTAAAATCGAACTTAATAGCATAGAAAATGACATAATTAATTGTTTTTTTATTATTGAAAAAAATAGTTTAATGATCAAATAACCTTTGCTTGATTGACATTATTGATAGTTAGATTTGTATGTCTTATAAAACTGAAATCTGCATACTAAATAATATGTACATTATTCAAAATAGATTTTGAAACTATTATTAGAACATGATTCATTTATATTAATAGCCATTAGTGCAAATAGTTTTATTGTACATTATCAAATGATGAAATCTTCAAATAATAATCTTTTTCCTTACATTATAGATTTATATCTTATATATTACTTTTTATGCCTAAATTACATTATCTTCTTATTGGTTATCTTATTTTTTTATTGTTTGGTGCGTTAATATTTTATGAATTGAATGCTATAGAAGAGAAAAAACGACATATATATATAAATAATGAGATAAGACAATTTATCCATCGAAATAAGAAATGTCTGAAAGGTAATGAAATATTTTGAACAAGAATATTTTAATTCTTTTCATATTTTAGAACATGATCTATATTCTTATGTTGATTATTTCTTGGATAAATCACATACTGGTTTATGGCATTCATCTTCATCAAAAGCAAATGTAACTAAATGGACATTTGGACAAGGATTATTATTTGTTACATCTCTATTAACAACTGTCGGTAAGAAAACATTTTCATATAGTTTTAAAGATTTATTTGAAATAAAAGATGAAATTTAAGTACGGACAAAAAACTGAAGTCTTTTTTAACCGCTGAAAGGACCCATAACTGGACCTAATGAACCGGCAAGACCACTTGTCCAAAATACAAGAACTGATTGAAGTTGGGATAAAACTTCAGTAGCTTGAGCACTGAGTACTGATGGAATAACTGTTGATAATTGTTGAGCTAAGCCAGTAATAGTAGCTTTAATAAGAACGATGTTTTCTTTGATAAGTTCGTTTAATTTTTGTCGATCATTTAATGAAGAAATAGCTTGATGAACAAATGTTTTGAATTGTTCACTCAATACTGAAGTGATTTGAGCAATGATTGTCTGAATTTGTTGAATGTTAACTGATCGTTTACCAACACCTAATGGATT